CTCCGGCGCAGTGTTGGGACTGTCTGGGTATCGGAAAGCAAGCCTACGTTGCTCACTATTACGTATAATCCTTTTCTTTTCAAGATGCCTGAGGAAGTGCACCATGGAGAGGAGGAGGTGGAGACTTTTGCCTTTCAGGCAGAAATTGCCCAACTCATGTCCCTCATCATCAATACCTTCTATTCCAACAAGGAGATTTTCCTTCGGGAGTTGATCTCTAATGCTTCTGATGCCTTGGACAAGATTCGCTATGAGAGCCTGACAGACCCTTCGAAGTTGGACAGTGGTAAAGAGCTGAAAATTGACATCATCCCCAACCCTCAGGAACGTACCCTGACTTTGGTAGACACAGGCATTGGCATGACCAAAGCTGATCTCATAAATAATTTGGGAACCATTGCCAAGTCTGGTACTAAAGCATTCATGGAGGCTCTTCAGGCTGGTGCAGACATCTCCATGATTGGGCAGTTTGGTGTTGGCTTTTATTCTGCCTACTTGGTGGCAGAGAAAGTGGTTGTGATCACAAAGCACAACGATGATGAACAGTATGCTTGGGAGTCTTCTGCTGGAGGTTCCTTCACTGTGCGTGCTGACCATGGTGAGCCCATTGGCAGGGGTACCAAAGTGATCCTCCATCTTAAAGAAGATCAGACAGAGTACCTAGAAGAGAGGCGGGTCAAAGAAGTAGTGAAGAAGCATTCTCAGTTCATAGGCTATCCCATCACCCTTTATTTGGAGAAGGAACGAGAGAAGGAAATTAGTGATGATGAGGCAGAGGAAGAGAAAGGTGAGAAAGAAGAGGAAGATAAAGATGATGAAGAAAAGCCCAAGATCGAAGATGTGGGTTCAGATGAGGAGGATGACAGCGGTAAGGATAAGAAGAAGAAAACTAAGAAGATCAAAGAGAAATACATTGATCAGGAAGAACTAAACAAGACCAAGCCTATTTGGACCAGAAACCCTGATGACATCACCCAAGAGGAGTATGGAGAATTCTACAAGAGCCTCACTAATGACTGGGAAGACCACTTGGCAGTCAAGCACTTTTCTGTAGAAGGTCAGTTGGAATTCAGGGCATTGCTATTTATTCCTCGTCGGGCTCCCTTTGACCTTTTTGAGAACAAGAAGAAAAAGAACAACATCAAACTCTATGTCCGCCGTGTGTTCATCATGGACAGCTGTGATGAGTTGATACCAGAGTATCTCAATTTTATCCGTGGTGTGGTTGACTCTGAGGATCTGCCCCTGAACATCTCCCGAGAAATGCTCCAGCAGAGCAAAATCTTGAAAGTCATTCGCAAAAACATTGTTAAGAAGTGCCTTGAGCTCTTCTCTGAGCTGGCAGAAGACAAGGAGAATTACAAGAAATTCTATGAGGCATTCTCTAAAAATCTCAAGCTTGGAATCCACGAAGACTCCACTAACCGCCGCCGCCTGTCTGAGCTGCTGCGCTATCATACCTCCCAGTCTGGAGATGAGATGACATCTCTGTCAGAGTATGTTTCTCGCATGAAGGAGACACAGAAGTCCATCTATTACATCACTGGTGAGAGCAAAGAGCAGGTGGCCAACTCAGCTTTTGTGGAGCGAGTGCGGAAACGGGGCTTCGAGGTGGTATATATGACCGAGCCCATTGACGAGTACTGTGTGCAGCAGCTCAAGGAATTTGATGGGAAGAGCCTGGTCTCAGTTACCAAGGAGGGTCTGGAGCTGCCTGAGGATGAGGAGGAGAAGAAGAAGATGGAAGAGAGCAAGGCAAAGTTTGAGAACCTCTGCAAGCTCATGAAAGAAATCTTAGATAAGAAGGTTGAGAAGGTGACAATCTCCAATAGACTTGTGTCTTCACCTTGCTGCATTGTGACCAGCACCTACGGCTGGACAGCCAATATGGAGCGGATCATGAAAGCCCAGGCACTTCGGGACAACTCCACCATGGGCTATATGATGGCCAAAAAGCACCTGGAGATCAACCCTGACCACCCCATTGTGGAGACGCTGCGGCAGAAGGCTGAGGCCGACAAGAATGATAAGGCAGTTAAGGACCTGGTGGTGCTGCTGTTTGAAACCGCCCTGCTATCTTCTGGCTTTTCCCTTGAGGATCCCCAGACCCACTCCAACCGCATCTATCGCATGATCAAGCTAGGTCTAGGTATTGATGAAGATGAAGTGGCAGCAGAGGAACCCAATGCTGCAGTTCCTGATGAGATCCCCCCTCTCGAGGGCGATGAGGATGCGTCTCGCATGGAAGAAGTCGATTAGGTTAGGAGTTCATAGTTGGAAAACTTGTGCCCTTGTATAGTGTCCCCATGGGCTCCCACTGCAGCCTCGAGTGCCCCTGTCCCACCTGGCTCCCCCTGCTGGTGTCTAGTGTTTTTTTCCCTCTCCTGTCCTTGTGTTGAAGGCAGTAAACTAAGGGTGTCAAGCCCCATTCCCTCTCTACTCTTGACAGCAGGATTGGATGTTGTGTATTGTGGTTTATTTTATTTTCTTCATTTTGTTCTGAAATTAAAGTATGCAAAATAAAGAATATGCCGTTTTTAT